TTTGAGCAAGGGTGCACACATTGAGTGGCAACTGCCTTCCGCGTCTGAATTTTAAGTCCTTCCTCAAAACGTGATGTTAAACGATTAATACTCGAGTCAGAGCACCTCGCAAAAAGCTTACGTAATTACCGGGATTGAAATAAGTGAAATGGGAACGGTTCTTCTGCGCTGAATGAGGCGGGCGCCAACGAAGCCATGCACATACATGACAACGTCATCACATCTCACTTGCACAGAGTACCCAAGCACACCCAGAAATAGCTATGCCTCCCTTCCCCTCCCCTCCAAAGTTTGGGGCGACTTGTTCTGTCGATGCTCCAGCTGCCATCAACCAACTGGTGATACAAGTCAACAGATGCAGACTTTCATCTTGCCGACTTTTCTCGATAACCTGGTAGAAGTAATGTCCCACGAGATGCATTCATGCCAAAGTTTAAAACAATGCTGCGTTATCAGTGAACAATTGCGTAACTTTATCTCAGCAAAGTGAAAAGTCATGTGATGTTCGGAACTCCTTCACGCTCTACGCTCTTCCGCGCGACTCGCCGTCTCATTGAAAACCTGTCGTTCTGTTCCAAGAGCCTGCAATCCTGTGAGTTGACGCACGAATGGAAGGGGGTGCCATTTAGCGGCAACCCGATGTCTTCCAAGTTGATCGTGATGGCAGGCGAGGAGAGCATTCGATATTTCTGCAGTCAAACACAGTGGCATAATAAATACGGCAGCTAGCTTCCGTTGTAAGCTTAAGCGTACTTCGGTAGTTGTAAGTAGTGGCATGCTATTCATAGCACGCGCTCCAGAGACCCTTGAAGAAAGTACCGCTCCATGACGAACAGTGAAGACGGTGCCTACAGGTTAGGTACGCTGGGCGGATGACCAGCAAATTGCAGCCGCGGGTCTTCCGAGTCCGCAGTGTTTCGAGTGTGATTAGCGCTTATTTAGGTTTCCATATCCAGACGAAGCAGTGCTCCGGTGGCAGCGTCGCACGCGCACGCGCGCTGTATGCGTATGCGCGCGCGCGCGCGCGCGCGCGTGTGTGTGTGTGTGTGGTGTGTGTGTGTGTGTGGTGTGGTGTGTGTGTGGTGTGTGTGTGGTGTGTGTGGTGTGTGTGTGTGTGTGTGTGTGTGTGTGTGTGTGTGTGTTGTGTGTGTGTGTGTGTGTGTGTGTGTGTGTGTGTGTGTGGTGTTCTTCAACCGTTATTTCCGTACTATGATTAGCTAGCGTGACCTTAATGCGGCGAGTTACCATTATTTCGCGAAGGTGGGAAAACAAAGCCATTAGCCAGCCGGGAGAAATTCTGGTCGTAGTTCCATTTCTTGACGTGTGTAAAAGGGTGTCTGTGGTTCCAATGCCCTGATACTCACGTGTTTTCACGTAAGCGAAGCGACGATAGTCTTCATGTTGTCATGAGTACTAAACTCGATGGTGTCCCATAATGGACTAGTCACGAAAATTATACATTGGGCATGGCCGCCATATTAGTGTCTTCGCGCCGTGCACCTATAAAGCACTCCTACCGGACAGGGTAACAGGTTAACCCGGACAGGACAGGACAGGTTAACTGTACATTGCATTGGGATAGCGAGTGCTGCAAGGACACCTGGTGCTCGGTTATTGCTCGGCAGGTATAAATCGAACGCCAATTACTGCGGCTGGATCAGAAACTAGTGCCAGGCGTCTGGCACCATTTATTAGGCGTGGTAATTGATTGCTTCTCATGGCAATATCGTTCGTTTGAGCCTGATGTTGTATCAGTAAGTCGTACAGCCAATAGTAAAGTATGTCGGGCCGTTCTAGGGAAGTCCGCCTGACTAGTCAGGACAGTAATGTCCATGATGTGGTCATATTAGATACCATCCCAACGCCAGCCAGACGTGGTTGCGTTTTGAGCAGTCGTTAAATACCTCGATATGTCCGGAATCTCTCTACTTGTCAATTGCAATAGCGCGTTACTCACGGCTGGCAGTAACGTCCAGACAACCATTATGACACTGGGACTCGCTGAATATTAGCAAACATAAAAATGGTTCGGTATTTTTTAAAAGCCGCTTAAGTACCAAGATTGCAAACGCAGGTTGCCATGAAAGCTCCGATCCATCACCACGGTCGAGCAATTTCACTTCATGGGACAGCTATTTCTTCCCCGCACATGTCTCCAAACACCAAAACATTTCAAAATCGTAGGCACCGCATGACACCGTTCAATACCACGCATGACACGTTTGGATGTTTTGTGACAATTACCGACCACATCATTAAGTCCAACATGACTGTCATACAAATCTATCTGCTATCTGGTCGCAAGAGCACAACCAGCGTGCTCGATAACTGTACGAATTTGCATAGCTGCAAGATGTACCGTGCTAACACGAAAGAAGGGCTTCGCGGTCTACAATCCCTGTCCGTTTTAACAAAGCATACCTGCCACTTCCAAGGCAATATCACCGGGCGTGGCTGACTGTGGGCGGCGGTGGCGGCGGCCGCTCGGGCCCTGCGGTCTCGCCAAACGTCCTCCGCAGCGGCAAAAATAGAAACGCAGGCGGGTGACCCTCCAAGCGAATGTTTTGCAAACCGCTCCGGCAAGCAATCAAACTGGAAGCGCCTTTTTCCAAGAAGCCACTCGAATACGTGGGTTCTGGTCACGCCTGCTGTCCACCATCCCCCCCCCCCTCAGCCCCCACCCGCCGTCGCCAACCCGGGCTCTGGCAGCCGGCTGACCGGCCGGAAGGGGGGGGGGGGGGAGGGAGCCGGACGCGGCACGCCCCGGCACCGATCGCCGGCGGCCATCAGCGGCTCGCGGACGCTCACGGCGCCACGGGCGGTCGGCGACACGAGCGCGACCGGCCTCTGCCGACCGGACACGAGTTACGGCGGCACTCCAGGCGGATAATGGCCCGGAGCGGCCAGCCCCGGCTATTTGAAACCGCGTGCGGCCCCGGCTGCTGCCGCCGCAGCCGTGCCGACTGCGCCGACCGCTCCGCGGCGGTGCACGTGGAACCGCGAGCTGGTCATCGGCATAAAGAGGGGTTTCTAAACAGTTCTAGTTAGAAAACAACTGGAACATGTTGCACGTCCACAAGGCTGCATCTTCCTTAAGTTCATGTTTATGAATTATGAACTGTTCATAGATCTGATTGGGCGGTTCGAAATAAAAGTCGGCCACACTAGTGAGCACTTCTACAAAATTACCCACCCAGATCGTTCTAGCTAGGCACAGCCAACGCATTCGTGCGCATTATCATCCACAATATCATTTTCACGTCGTTTTCCTCAATAACCATTGCTCCCAAAGCCCGATAATGATTTCCCTGGCACCGGCCACGAGCAAGCCGGTAAGTTCTCCACGGATGGCTTCATTTAACGACAAGCAGACTTCCAGCCAGCCGAGGATAACCACTTCCGACCACAGGCAGCGCGCTGACTCAGCGACAATTTACCCTTCAGCATCACAAGCTGACGAACTCTCCGCGAGCCGTCACCTCCAACTGCCAGGAGACCACGAACTTATCGCGGGTACCCCCGCCCCTCCCCCTTACACCAGCAGACTACGAACTCACCGAGTAATTACCACCTCCGACCACCGGCAGCTCACGGACTCACCGACGGTGGTGGTTTCATCTTTTACACGCCGCAGCGCCACGAACTCGCAAAGCGTGAGCACCTCCGTGGCCTCCAGCAGCCCCGGACCTCACCAAGGACGAGCATCTCCGCAGCCTCCAGCAGCCCCGGACCTCACCAAGGACGAGCACCTCCGCAGCCTCCAGCAGCCCCGGAACTCACCAAGGATGGCGACCACCTCGTCGTCCTGGATGACCTCGAGCGAGCCGGACACGATATAGCAGAGCGTGTCGATGCTCTCGCCGGTGTGGAAGAGCATGTCGCCGGGGGCGCTGTGCGACATATTGAAGTGCACGGCCAGCGCGCGCAGGCAGCCGTCCGACGCCAGCCGGAAGGCGGGGTGCTCGTTGAAGACCTTGCGGTTCAGGTGCACGCAGATGTCGGCGCGCATGTCCTTCGGGCAGTAGTTGAGCACCTGGTGACGTCAGCAGAGGGTCAGCTGACGCCGCAGCTCCAGCGAGAGGCCCTTCGTAATCCTCCCGGCTGACGGCAGGGTCCCTACCTCGGCTTAGCTCAATGTTTTTCTCGAGTGAAATTCATTTATGTTTTTCAATTGTATTGACTGTGTTGAATGTGCACCTGAAGGTCTTGGCATCCTTGTATAATATGTGAGACTGATTAATACAGACGCGTGCTTGATTATTCTATCGCACACACACTCCTGACAGTAACTACCGGACGACGTAACTGCTGTGGGCCAGGGTGTCGCTCAGCACCATGACGCGCCCCTGCCAAACTGCATTGAAAGCCACAGTTGTCATGCGACATGCCATTCCACGCAGGTGCAAGCAACGAAAAAAGCGACTTGGATAAACTGTGGGTGTAGAACATTACTTTGCGCACTTACCGCCGCGTGGACATGTTGCCGTGGTGACACATCTGTGCCCAGACACCGACATTTTTATTTTTCTTCTGCATTGCTCTGATGTCGTCGGGAGGAAAGTAATCACTGAGCCAGCAAATAAAACGCTACGTTTATTCCGGTTGGCCTGTAATTCCTGGGCGGTAATACCTGCACTTCAGCAGGCAGGAACGTCATCAAAACAATTGTAACGGTGCACGGGCTCATATGGTCCCATCCGCAGCATCTGCACTTCGCCTCAACACGCACTATACTGCCAGCGGGCCGGTAAAGCGGGTGACATCGAACGCATGCGGGAGCGGCGCGGGACGGCCGAGGGAGCACGCGACACCGAACACCGAGTTCACGACGGGTGTCGCGGTCGGTCCACATCCGGAGTACCAGGGTCAGTCTCGGCTGCCGGGCCAGCTCCGCCAGCAGGAACCCCTCCCCTCTCTTCCCCCTAAGGCGGCCCTCTGTCAGGCCGGGGGCGCCGAACCGCCGCAGGGCTGGGCGCCGAGGGTCGCGTCCGAGCGGGCGCCGAAGGACGTTGACCCGCCATTTTCAGCGTGCAGTCGAGGAAGGAGGGGCCGACGGTTGCAGGGACGGGCGCACAAACTCAAACGGCTGCGAAGCAGGCTGAGCACCGAACAGGACCAGTGGTGATTGATCTGGCTGGATACTGCAAACGGGACTGAGGAAACCGACCGGACTGATGACGGGACTGAGGAAGCCGACAGGACTGACGACGGAACTGAGGAAGCCGACTGGACTGATGACGGGACTGAGGAAGCCGACTGGACTGACGACGGAACTGAGGAAGCTGACTGGACTGATGACTGACTGAGGAAGCCGACTGGACTGATGACGGGAACTGAAGGAAGTCGACTGGACTGATGACGGGCTGAGGAGCCGACAGGACTTGATGACTGGACTAGGGAGCCGACCGGACTGATGGCGGGACTGAGGAAGTCGACTGGACTGATGACGGGGCTGAGGAAGCCGACAGGACTGATGACTGGACTGAGGGAGCCGACCGGACTGATGATGGGACTGAGGAGCCGACAGGACTGCTGACGGGACGCCAGAGGCCAGCGAAACTGTAGATACTGATCGAACTGGGATACTATTTGGACTACAAAGGCTTACGGGCTTGTACGATCTGCCAGGACGGGACACACTGACCGGAAATGAGAATACTGCGCTGCAGCAGGTCCTGTCAGGCCAGAGAATGTCCATCGATCGCACGCGCCCGTCTGTCTCTGCCGGCCTTCGCCTGCAGCTGACGGTCGACAAAAGCGGCGCGGCACGCGGCGGAAACAGGGCAGGTGCGCCAAGCGGAGTGACGGCTGGAAAACGGTGCAGGCCGGGTGCAGAATCGAGCGAAACGGGCTGGAATAAGACCTGGCCGGCCTGTCGGCGAATACCGAGGTCCCCAAGGGAGAAGGGAGCCCCAGGCCTAGCCGCCCTGCTCCTAACGCAGCCTCCGAGGTGCTGGACGCCGTCACTGACAAACGACCGCGTACCGATCGCCGCGACTCTGCTGACCGATTGTTGTTTGCTCTGCTGCGGCCTGTGTGCGGGGCGACTGGGGTCGGAGGTAGTCCATGTGCGCTGGCTTGGGTCAGCTGTGGTCCATGTGTACTGGCTGAGGTTAGAGGTGGTTCGTGTGTGCCGGCTGAGGTCAGAGGTGGTCCGTATATCCGGCTGGGGTCAGATGTGGTCCATGTGTGCTGGCTGAGGTCAGAGGTGGTCTGTGTGTGCCGGCTGAGGTCAGAGGTAGTCCGTGTATGCCGCCTTGGGTCAGCTGTGGTCCATGTGTGCTGGCTGGGGTCGGAGGTGGTCTGTGTGTGCCGGCTGAGGTCAGAGGTAGTCCGTGTATCCGGCTGGGGTCAGATGTGGTCTTTGTATGCCGCCTTAGGTCAGATGTGGTCCGGGTATGCTGGTTAGGGTCAGAGGTAGTCCGTGCGTGCCGGCTGAGGTCAAAGGTGGTCCGTGTATCTGTCTGAGGTCAGATGTGGTCCGTATGTGCCGCCTTGGGTCAGATATGGTCCATGTGTACTGGCTGGGACCGGAGGTGGTCTGTGCCGACCCTGACCCCGCCCAGCCTGACCCGGGCATTACTTTGAAGCGAGCCGGCGGCTGTACCAGCTCGTGGAGTGAGCGGCTGAGCTGCTTCCCCGGAGCACCTTCCCTAAATCACCTGCGACGGGGAGCGCCTTGGCTTCCTGGACTCCATATTGCACAATCCGCCAGAGCGTTAACGTTTAAAGCTGGACAAACAACTTCCCTTAATAGAGCTATTGATTTTCGGGCTGCAATTTCGTCCCGGGACCACGGAGATTGATTTGGAAAGCGGCGAATCGGAAGAGGGGCAGATGGAAATTGTTGGGTCAAATGCAGACATATCAACGTTCATATATGCACCTTTACGTCAAGATATAAACCAATGGAACGTCGCTACTTTTCACGCCACTTGTTAGCGTTAAATGCTTCGAATCCGTCAAGCAGCATTCTCTACTTTTTGGGCGCTGTGTTCCTTCTCTCACCTAAACGCCTAGCCAGCCAACACTTACAAGAATCTCTGCTAATGACCTGAGTGCCGACTTGGTTCTTCTCCGCGCAGCCTGCTTGACAGCTGCTGTGAGCATTGTTCTCCAGTCTCGAGGCCGTTTAGAGAGCCCTCTCACGGCGTCCGGAGAGCCCTCCAGTCCGACGAGCCTCCGGCGTCCGCACAAGGCCTCGGACAGCGGCAGTGGTGGCGGGGAGGGAGGGGGGGGGGGGGCACTCGGTATTCGCCGGGCAGCTGCTTCACCTGGTGCCTGCCGCTGGGACCGCCGCCGCCACACTCGCCTCGCCCTCTACCTTGTTGGTGTCAATGCCCTTGGTCATGGCCCACGTGCTGACGACGTAGTCCATGACCCGCTCCGAGAGCGCCTTCGGCACCTCGTGCAGCTTCATGAACTCGCGCACGTTGTTGAGCATGTCGTGGTATTTGGCCGTGGCTGAGGTCATCTGCTGGATGATGGTGGTCACGTGGCCGAAGATGGTGGCGTACAGCAGTGCTGTAATGAGAGCAAGCCCTCTGTCATGCGGCATCGCGCTCTGGAGATGCGCGATTTGCTACACCGGGCCCGTCTGCAGCCTCGGAAACTGCGGCCCACGCGGGCACTGAGCTCCGTCTGAAGCCGCTCAAATCACGTTATGCCTTTTTCCAGGGCGATATGAAAAACAAGACCACAAAAACAGACCAGCTGAGCAAAAAGAGACCAGTTCAGAGCATCCCATATGACAATTTCTAAACTGTATGGGAGATAACAACGACCCGATTTCACTTTGATTCGTGGAAACTTCAAAGGGGTTTTGAATTCGCGAACAGCGAAGACTGGAATACGCTCCAGCACGCCCGACGTTCAACTTTGACCCATCCTGTGCAAGCGCTACTCCATCCCCAACCTGTTGACGCCCCAGGACGACGCATGTGATTACCTTCCTCCTTTGTGCGGGATGTCGTCCGTATGGTACTGCATTTGTGCGACACATCATGTTCACCATGTTTATATTTCGCTTCGGGGTGACCAGGAGCGAGCCATTCGCGTACAGTCATACCCCGCCACAGGTGTTTTTCATCATTTTTCGAGCTTGATCATTTGTATCATTTAGGATGGAAAAAACATCAGACGTGATGAAACACGCTCAGTTACAACTATTGGCATATTCTTTAAGTGAAAAAGACTGCTCTAGACAGCATAATCCTGTTTCTCAAACATGCTCTTCAATGCGCCATGGTTCAATTACGTCATCGCACCCTGCTCAACACTGATCGATAACCAATGGACGGCCGTTATATCTGGAAATTGCGCTAACGAACGCGAGATATAAACGCCTCTACAGTTATACTTTTCTTGGCCTTGATTGCCATATGGCTTGCGGAATGGCAGGATTCGAAATGACGTTGTAATGACGCCATGAATGCCGAGGCGACTTTGAAATACCCTAGCCGATATACTTTTCCCATTTTTGCGGGCGTTTAGCTCAGAAATTACAAGAGCTTAAATCATGAGAAGGGCAGGATTGTGAGCAGCACCAAAAGGTCTTCAAGATGGCTACGCCATTTCGAAACCCCAAACAAATGTGAAACACTCCCTTTTAGTTGAGGTTTTCTACGATCTATAGGATAGGTCACTGCCAAACCGAATTCATTCACCACATTCTTTGAACAAAATCGCTAAGCTCCAGGAAAACCTGACCTATCCCAAGCTGCTATCATTGGAGCCCGAGCACCGCAGTACTCTGGGCGCGCGACATGCGACCAGGGGTGCCGGCCGGAGGGGACAGGCGCCCCTGGGAGGAAGGGGGCGGTGAGGGGACAGGCGCCCCTGGGAGGAAGGGGGCGGTGAGGGGGCAGGCGCCCCTGGGAGGAAGGGGGCGATGAGGGGGCAGGCGCCGGGGGTGCCGGCCGGAGGGGACAGGCGCCCCTGGGAGGAAGGGGGCGGTGAGGGGGCAGGCGCCGGGGGTGCCGGCCGGAGGGGACAGGCGCCAGGGGTGCCGGCCGAGGGGACAGGCGCCCCTGGGAGGAAGGGGGCGGTGAGGGGGCAGGCGCCAGGGGTGCCGGCCGGAGGGGACAGGCGCCCCTGGGAGGAAGGGGGCGGTGAGGGGACAGGCGCCCCTGGGAGGAAGGGGGCGGTGAGGGGACAGGCGCCGGGGGTGCCGGCCGGAGGGGACAGGCGCCCCTGGGAGGAAGGGGGCGGTGAGGGGACAGGCGCCGGGGGTGCCGGCCGGAGGGGACAGGCGCCCCTGGGAGGAAGGGGGCGGTGAGGGGCAGGCGCCATGGGTGCCGGCCGGAGGGGACAGGCGCCCCTGGGAGGAAGGGGGCGGTGAGGGGACAGGCGCCAGGGGTGCCGGCCGGAGGGGACAGGCGCCCCTGGGAGGAAGGGGGCGATGAGGGGCAAGCGCCGTGAAAAGACGGCTGTGAGGGGGCAGGCGCCCCTGGGAGGAATGGGGCGGTGAGGGGGCAGGCGTCGTGAAAAGACGGCTGTGAGGGGGCTGGCGCCCCTGGGAGGAAGGGGGCGATGAGGGGCAAGCGCCGTGAAAAGACGGCTGTGAGGGGGCTGGCGCCGTGAGGGCAGGACTGTGAGGGGGCAGGCGCCGTGGGAGGAAGGGGGCGGTGAGGGGCAGGCGCCGTGCGAGGAGGGCTGTGAGGGGCAGGCGCCGTGGGAGGAGGGCTGTGAGGGGCAGGCGCCGTGCGAGGAGGGCTGTGAGGGGCAGGCGCCGTGGGAGGAGGGCTGTGAGGGGCAGGCGCCGTGGGAGGAGGGCTGTGAAGGGCAGGCGCCACGGGACGACTGCTGCGCCCTGAGACGGGACGCGTCCATTGATCCTGCCCATATTTTCCCAAAGGCATTCCACAAGAAACCGTCAACAGTCGGCTCCGGCGGCGGATGTTGTTTTTCTGCCAGCGGCCGCCGATTTCGGCGCCTCGCCGCGCGGCCGCCGCGATCGTCGCAGTCCCGTCCGTGTCGACTGAAGGTCGGGTGTCCCGCTCATTTGTCGCCAGACAAATCTGGCAATCTCCGTCTTCGTCAGCTGATGCGGTGCGCGCCATTTTTCGTCGGCACCAGCCGGCCGTGGCCGGCGGGCTCGCCGTCGCGTCTTCGCACGCCGCGGCTGCTCGGATCCATCTCTGTCACCGGGCGCCGTGGCAATCTCTGCGGCCGGCGCCACCGCTCCCGGTCTATGGCGTGCCAGCGGTAGTCGGACGCCATATTGCCAACAAGCGCCAGCTTTGGCGACGATTCTCCACGACTGAAAATAGTCCTGCTGTATATCCGTCGCCCGGGATCTAGACATATGACTGCATTCAGGAGATGAGGACCCCGTGATGCACGACGAACGCGAGTTTCGACAGCGGCTTGGAGGAGCACACTTCCGGCCGCTAACGAAATGTTTTTCAAAGTGCTGAGAGGATGTGCTTTCAAATGAAAGCAGTTTATTTATCTGAATGCTCGTAAAGGAACGCTAAATGGCGGGCCTTGGCGTTGATATGCGAGCAGTGAGCACATTCCTATCATATTCTATTGAAAATTAAAATCGGGCTCTCCCGTGAGATTGAAAATCAAGCCGATCAATCCCATTGATTTTGTGAGCGCAGCACGCGGCCAGGTTTTGGCGGGCGAGGACCGTCACGCCGCGACCCACCAGTCACCGGATCCGGTCACAGTCACCGGATCCGGTCACAGTCACCACCAGTCACCGGATCCGGTCACAGTCACCACCAGTCACCGGATCCGGTCACAGTCACCACCAGTCACCGGATCCGGTCACAGTCACCACCAGTCACCGGATCCGGTCACAGTCACCACCAGTCACCGGATCCGGTCACAGTCACCACCAGTCACCGGATCCGGTCACAGTCACCACCAGTCACCGGATCCGGTCGCAGTCAACACCAGTCACCGTATCCGGAACATGGCGCCGGATCTTCTGCGGCGCACCGCTGCCAGCGGCTGGGCGTGAAGTCCACACGCGTGCAGCGATGACCAGATTATCCGGAAATCTATGGCACCTTCTGATCCGTTCGAAAAAGACTAGCCGTTAAATTCTACAAACCATATTATGTCATGAACTGAAGGCGTGATCAGCCTTTTGAGCGTTTCAGGAACGCTTCCCAGCCCCGTCAAATCAACAACAACCGGTTTTCGCCACAGTGGTAAGCCTATGACTTTGACGACTAAAAGGTGGCCGATCTTCTAGATGCTAGAATAATAACCCTACAGTTACGCTCATGTTATAATGACATCAAATTAACTGAACCACCAAAACACTTCCAATCAATGGGCTAACAACGCGCGTAAAAGTTTATTCAAAAAGGGATCAACGGTTATGTCAACGAGGTGTTATTTTTCACCTAACAGCCAATACATCCCTGGCCCAGGTGGGAATAGCCGAGAGAAAAAGGAATGCAGAGAGCTGCGGAAGGAGACAACTTCCCTGCGTGTCTGCTCAGCACTCGGCTCCAGGTGCTCGCCTGCCTGCCTCTGGCACTGCGCAACCACTCACCAGCGATGATCATCATGCAAATGGTGAAAATCTTCTCGTTGTCTGTTTCCGCGGCCACGTTGCCGAAGCCGACGCTGGTCATGCAGGTCATGGTGAAGTAGAGCGATGACACGTACATGGTCTTGCGGGTAGGGCCGCTGACGAGCACGGGCGCCATCGTCTCGTTGGACCAGACGTACTCATATGGCAACTGAGTCACGTTTGCTAGCTTCCAGAGCCAGCTGCAGATGTAGAAGAAGGGTCTCAGACAGATAATCGACAGTGAGAGAGCTAGACAGCGGGATAGAACGGGAATAAGCGCTGAAAATGGAGTTGAGGAGGAGAGAGACAGAGAGCGAGACGGAGAGCAAGAGAGGGGGAGAGAGGGAGAGAGAGAGAGAGAGAGAGAGAGAGAGAGAGAGAGAGAGAGAGAGAGAGAGAGAGAGAGAGAGAGAGAGAGAGAGAGAGGAGAGAGAGAGAGAGAGAGAGAGAGAGAGAGAGAGAGAGAGAGAGAGAGAGAGAGAGAGAGAGAGAGAGAGAGAGAGAGAGAGAGAGAGAGAGAGAGAGAGAGAGAGAGAGAGAGAGAGAGAGAGAGAGAGA